ATACAGTGGAATATTTGGCAATAAAAATAAATGAAATACTGACACATGCTATAACATGGAAGAACCTTGAAAAAATGCTAACTAAAAAAGCGATCACAAAAGACCACATATTGAATGATTCCTTTTAAATGAAATATCCAGATTAGACAAATCCATAGAGACAGGAAGTAATTCTGTGGTTACCTAGGGCTAAAGGGTTGAGGAAAAATGGAGAGTGATTGCTAATGGGTACAGAATTTCTTGTTGGATGATAAAGATGTTCTAAAATTGATTGTGGTGATGGTGGTAGAACGCTATGAATACACCAAAAGTCATTGAATTATATACCTTCAATGGTGAATTGTATGGTGTATGAAGTATATCTCAATAAAGCTATTAGAAGAAGCAGGAGAAGGAGAAGAAAGAAAAGGAGACAAAAAGGAAAAGGAAGAAGAATCATCGAGGCATTGGAATGCTCACTGGCAGAGTCTCTCCAAAACATCTCAAGTTCATTACTACTAGGAAGTGAGACAGTCCAGTGATTATGCTGTGGGCTCTGGAATAAGTATGATTGAGCTGGGGTCAGATAGGCGTTAGCATGACTGTGTTACTCCTTACCAAGTGACTCCTGAAATTTAGGTAGAGTTTTCTGATATAACTTGTGTGTAGTGGTTCTACAGCATGCATCAGGTCACCTGGAGGGCTTGTAAAAATGAACGTTGCTGGGTCCCACCCCAGAATGCCTGATTCAGTAGGTCTGGAGTCGGGCCAGAGAATTTGAGTTTCTAACAAGTTCTCAGGTGATGCTGATGCTGTGGGTCCTAGAACCACACTTTGAAAACTATTGATCTAATACTGAGTTCTTGAAGTTCCCCAGGGCCTACTGAGCATACTTTGCCAACAACAGCAGAAATTCATAGTGCAAATTAGTATGTGTGATTTAATATTAATAACCTTATCAATATTTTATTTGGCAATTATTTCTTTTTTTTTCTTTTTTTTTGTGGTACGTGGGCCTCTCACTGTTGTGGCCTCTTCCATTGCGGAGCACAGGCTCCGGACGCGCAGGCTCAGTGGCCATGGCTCACGGGCCCAACTGCTCCGCAGCATGTGGGATCTTCCTGGACCGGGGCATGAAGCCATGTCCCCTGCATCGGCAGGCAGACTCTCAACCACTGCGCCACCAGGGAAGCCCGGCAATTATTTCTAAATGTTGATATGTAATTAGTAGACTGCAGTTTTGATGAAATGATGAAAGGAATCACAGTCTAGGAATCAGAAGACCTGGGGGTCATGCCCTTCCAGCCCTAGGAATTTGAACCAAAAAAGTTCTTGACCACAGTTTCCTCACCTGTGAAAAACAAATCCCAATAATGCCTCATTAATATATACAAGGCTGTGAGAAAGATAATATGATAACCTAGTTGAAAATGCATGGTAAATTGCATATGCATTAAACGTACATTCTTAATGTCTGCTCAGGACAACCAGTCTCTGGGAAACCTCCAGCAATGGGCTGCAAGTCCTCAGTTTCTAGAATCCCCTGAGACACTGCATGAGTTAGGATGCTATCAACTCTAAGTAACAAGAATCTATACCCAAACTAGACTAAACTCTAAAGATGTTTACTTGTGCACATTACAGGGGGTCTAGCCATGGAAGCTGTAAACTGTAAGATAAAAGAGGTCTGCAGAGAATGGGGAACAGGCAGGGCCTGGATACTGTTGGGAAATGAATGTATGATAAAGATGAGTGCTTACAATGATTTTCATTGTCTCTTGGAGCTCTTTAAATCTTAAGATTACTCAGAAGTCATATCCAGAATGCAGGATATAACTCATGAGCATCAGGATGATCCGTTTTAAAACCTCTACAGTAGTGGTTCTCATGCAAATCATACAGGAAGGTTTTAAAGGATACTCTTGTCTGGGCCTGGTTCAAAATCTTCTGATCTGACGGATCTGGGGTGAGGCTCAGACATTGGTGTCTTTCAAAAGTTCCCCAGGTAAATTCTTAAGTGCTGACAGGGTTGAGAATAATTGCTGCAGCATATCATAAACCAAAGTGGTTGCCCTAAGCTTGGAGGACTCCAGTTGCCAGCACTGGGGAGTTATTTAGGGATAGGAGTGATAGGACAGTGGTCCCTAATCTTTTTGGCACCAGGGACCGGTTTCAAGGAAGACAGTTTTTCCACGGACTGGCGGACTGGCGGGGTAGGGGGGCGGGGGAGTGGGGGAGCTGGGAATGGTTTCGGGATGATTCAAGTGCTTTATATATATATATATATATATATATATATATATATATATATATATTTTTTTT